ACAATAAACCGTGTTCAAATACGAACATAATGAAACTGATTAAAAATAAGATTATTCTTTATGAAAAGATAACCAACGCTTTGCCTTATTATTTTTGTCGGTTTTTTTTCAACAGAACCGTGTACACGTATCTGTGAAATAAATCAACTAACGATTTTTTTACAGAAATATGAAATAATTCACAGGAATATGTTAGGCAAATATACATGTATCATGAAGAAATCTCAATAAATTAGCTTTTACTTTTTTATGTTTGTACTTAAGATATAAATGCATGGAACAGTTGTAGTCTAGCTATTTTATATATAATATATTTTTGATGTATCGATCATACTAGCGAGAAAGTATATGATCACATGTTGAGCCTTAAAGATACGTGTTATAATGAAGAGACTAATCAGACGGATATTCCGCTCAGGAACTGTTTAAAAGTATGCCGAAGAAAAAATAGATTTAATGGCGACATAAAACATAAATAACCTTTCAGTATTGAAATGTTGATGAATGTTTATATACGACTTTAATACCTATCTAGAAGCAATGAAAATGACACAGTACCGGTTCTTAGATTAGAAGTCACAACTAAACGTTATAACTTAGTTAAAGGGAAATAATGTGTCTACTTTTCTGGCATTCCCTTGTGTTATTTCTTGCTTAGTTGACTCTTGATACCTTACTTGCAATCATAAATCTAAATTTAGTATGAAAATATATTAATTTAATTGTATTTTTTACAGCATTTTGAGAATCAATTTTCAAACTTTAGTCTAATTCATTCTATCGACAGAGTGATTTATAAAGTAATTAATGTAATAGTTTGTGTTGCCAATTTAATTTTGACTTTTATACTTTTTACAACGTGTTGAGTGTAAAACTTATGTATAAATCACAAAATGGAAGAGCTCGACACTCCTTTTTAATTAAGTGGCGGTTGCTGAAAATAAATTTCGGCATTTAGTATAAAATATCAAAATTAATTAGATCAGGGAAAAAATATCCCCTGAGACTGTGATAGTTGTCTTATATATGTTACATAACATCAAGTTGATTTAGACCGTACAAAAAAGTATAATGCCACCTGTGTCCAGTGTATAAATGCTAACATTGTAAAATATACTTCTTGTGACTACGTTTTAATTATGAAACAATTAAATCATGGCTCTTATCATATCTTCCTTCGTTAGCTCTAGCTTTTGCTGATTTCTTGCCCTAGTAGACTAAATCGGAAATAAATCACACACTTGGTGATGAAGAAATGAAATATTTAATTAATACAATATTTACCGTGATTGCCCTTGAAATTAATTTCATTTTGATACTGACGCAATCCTACAGTTGAAATAAAATCCCTTTTTTTACTGACTTAATTCAACCCATGTTAAAGTTGTTGCTTTAAGTGTCGTCGGATAAAAGAAATGCAGTCGTTACTTTCGATTCCATGTACGAAACATTTAAGGACCGACATATTTTTTATTCTCTGTGCAAACTAAAAGAAAATAATGCTTCAAATCTAATTAAAAGTTTCTATTCTGTCATCTCGTTTAATAAATCTTTGACATGTACATGTACAACATTGTAACATTTTCAAGAACACTAATCTTGTCAAGTATTTGCAAAAGAGGCACAGAAAACTAACTGAAGACAACAATTGAACAAAGCACTTAAAAGACAACTGATGTCTGACTGCGAATGTATTCTTAATATCTATTGGGATCAATCCAGTTTTTTTTACAAAAATATTATACATATCTAATTGTAAATACTTATTCTTAATATCAATAACCATAATCAATGACTTGCAATTTAGTTTAACACAATTTGCATATATTGAATAAGTGTAGAAAAAATCATACTTTGATATCGATATTATTAATTGTCATTAATTGTCCGTAGCATTTACATTCGAAAATGCTACGGACGTCAGCAGAAAATAATTGTACTTAGTAAGCCCTACGTCTTGTAATTCTTGCCTATCTTGTCAATATTTAAGTATTTATCATTCCATATTCTTACGCACGATAATGAAAATCAGGATAAGTTATATAAACATAATACATGTCATAACTAAACTAGAGTACCAATCAATCGATTATCAAAAAAGGTAAATGACACTTATGTTGTAACTTAGACTGTTATTCCTTTTAGTAAATAAAATAAAGAAACAAATTATATGATAATCTTTTAGACCTTCTTATATATTTTTTTCATAATGACGTTTGTAAGCATAACAAATTCTCAGTTTGTGTTAACAACTTTTACACTTTATTTCAATACCACATTTGTTAAACATATAAATGTGAGTGGTATTTTTAAATACATAATTACCAACTTTACAATAATATATTTTAGTATGATGAACTTTTATATATTTTTGGGTATAATTTGTTTCGTTCATGACTGTATTGTGAAAAAGAAAAAAAAACATGAATTAAATTTCGAAAGAATTCTTTCTTAATTGATGACCCTCGACTCTTTTGGAAATAAAATCTATATAATGAGGACAACTATTTTATAATTAATCAACGTTTGTAGACTCCACTGACTTTTATCATGATTCTAAAGCATTAATTACAATTTGTGTAACCAATATCATAATTACTTGTAATAATGTGATACCAATTAAACTCATACTGCCTTTACTTCAGAAATACTTTGTGCATTAAATTCTTATACCAGAGAAAGATATACATTAACTTTAAGGCATAAAACGACACGAAATGCATGCAAGAAATGCAAGAAATGCAATTGTAGTGTTAACTATACGAATATTCTACGATGGGCTGATGCCGTGTTGTCGCGACAGTTGGATCATGTCATACTAAGTTATGGGTTTGAGAGTCGTTTAAATCAATTACAATACTTAGAAAAGATGATAAGTCTCCCTGTAGAATAATTATGATTAAGGTTAGATAAGTTAAACATAATACTTTGCTTTTGAGATATGCATAAGAGAGCAATTATTTTATGATCAGATGATCGTGCATAAAAATTGATTGAATGATTGAAGAATGAAGTAAGAAAATAATTGGCATCTGATGCTAGTTATTTATTAATTAACATTTTTTTCATAATGAACATGTAAACGCGGCAATGATTTCATCTTATCGTAGTATGTCCAGGATATTTTGCTCTTTCTTAATTGTATTTATTCGGTTTTACTAAAATTTGCCTCTGTCAAATTATAAACATATTGATGATTATTTTGTTTAAATTTTTAAGAGACTTATTGCTTACTAAAAATGCTTTTGAATACGTTTATATTATAAGAAATTTGTAACTTTGATTTAGAAATTAAACTTTAAATATAATTATATTATTTGGCTTACGCATGGACTTGTTCGCCTTATTTCTTTTTTCGTTTGCTAACTTTTGTGTTTTTGTATCATAAATATGTAATGAAAAGAAAAATATTTGGACACCTGACGTGTCGTAAAAGTAGAGATTATGTTGATTTATGAGAAACTAATTCTTTATGTTCTTTTATCATTAAAAAAGTGGTATTCAACAAAAATTACTCGGAAAGTAGCTTGGTGATTTATAATAAGAAATAAAAAAATCTTAATGCTAATTTATGACATATTTGTCAAAGGATTTTCTTCTTTGCTTGAATTTATGTAAATACCCTTCATATGTGACAAAATTTTATATTAATGTATGAATATTACTGCCGGCACCTTTTCTACTAAGTATACTGCCTGTAAGTAGATTAATGTAGTTGTTCTATATTTAAAAGTATTCCGGAAATGTTAACCTAATGAATAATGACAGCATTAAGATGAATTTCATAGAGGTCAGGGTTTTTCTTCCTGGTTTCAGTGTTGCTTGACTACAGGGTTCAGTCATATATCACACAAAATGATTTTCTGCTATATATTTTTTTTTCAAATGGGACAAATGTTAAAGCTGGATAAAGTTGAAATAGCATTTTCTCGACATATATAATTATGTTATCTCGGTTTTGTGGGCGAACAGACATTTTCTTTTTTTAAATATGCTCTCCGGTGCAGGAAAGTAATTTGACTGTAAATTAATGTCTTTTTAAGTACTATACGGGTTGTAGAGTATTGACCTATGTCACACATCTCTTATTTTAAGATAATAGATAAAATGTCAATGGAAAAAATGGGAATTTAAAAAGACAAAGAAAAAACAACAACAATAATAGGAATAACGTAATGACCCTTTGTGAATATAGCAAACGGTTTAGAAAAAAAAGCTCTTTTGCAGTTTTCATTCTGCTCATTAATCACTTGACAGTTATCAGTTTAAGACTATTTAAATTTGGCGTACAATGTTAAACATTTTATACTGCATTTATACATATTTTGTATACCTAATACATACTTATAAATTCAAAAATGTATATATAAATAATTTTATACACACTGGTTATAAAACGTCTGACGAAGAAAGAAATCATTTCAATTGAGTTTAAAACCCCGACCATTTTAATCTACCTAGACAGTACACTGTTACATATAATATTATTGCAAACACACATCTAACACACGTTTATGTTTTATTATTCCAAGCCTGTTCTATTTTACATAAAATATGTTTTGATTGACATAAACATGCATAAGAAATAAAATGTTAAGCAGCTGTAATATTTTTAATCATTTGATTTATCTTAAACAACAATTCAAGTATTTGTCATAGAATATATTTATATCAGGCATTGAAAAAGTATATATACAAAAATACCAATACCTGTTCCTTAATTCATATGAAGTACGCCGATGTAGTTGAGGTAATACACTCAGTTCTGACTTAAAATACAATATATTGGTATGCCAAATCACGATCTCAAAAGAGCCATACAGTATCTCAAAATGAACAGTGGGACATTTTGATTCAAAATAAAATCCATTCAACAAAACCTGTAATGTGTTTTGCTATTATTTCATTAATATTCTTCTTTTATGTGTTTGTATCTTTGTTATTTTAATTGTTTTTTTTAATTGTTTTTTGTTTTCTTTTGTGGTTACACTCCTTGTGCTTCAAAACGAGTTTTCAGCTTTTCCTCTTACAATAAATGTAACGTATCCGTTTCCACGGCTACAACGATGACCTGACGTCAGGTTATGATTACACTGAGCACCAGCATGACTATGGCTTGGCCTTTTGAATAAATTAGAAAAGATATTTGTTATTAGAATGTTACAACCTTACGAATAAAACAGAACATGTAATGTAATTACGAAAGACCGGTAGGGCCATTTCAACTTCATGAATTCCTGATTTCATCTTCGTGAATTCACAGTTTTAACTTCGTGAATTCCCGTTTTCAACATGCGGCATTCACTGATTCACGATTTAAGCTTCATGTATTCACGATTTCCACTTCACGAATTCACGAAATTCGTGAAGGTGAAATCGTGAATTCATGAAGTTGAAATAGTGAATTCATGAAGTTGAAATCGTAAATTCGTGATGTTGAAATCGTGAATTCACGAAGTTGAATTCGTGAAGTTAAAATCGTGAATTCATGAAGTTGAAATCGTGAATTCGTGAAGTTGAAATCGTGAATTCATGAGGTTGAAATCGTGAGTTCGTGAAGTTGAAATTGAGGATTATGAAGCTGACTTCGGGAATTCATGCAGTTGAAATGTCTACACCGGACTTTCGTATGTAACCCTTACATTTTTCTTCCTAAAAAAACACAGTTTTGGTGGCATTTAAACAAAAAAAAATGTTTCTAAAATACTGAAATATTTATATAATTAATTCTTCAACATATAAGAATCAGTTTTATACAAGTTAAAATTTCGTATGAACTGCATTTTGCTGGTGTTAAATTATGTCTCAACGACATTATAAGGACAAAATGTCATGTGTTATATTTAAGTAATTAAAAAAAATGCCTCGGTAACTTACAAATGAAAATGAGTACCCCTTTCTCCTGTAGCATTTCTTACAAACGACACTGTGCGAAAACAGAATTGCCAACTACTTAATCTTAAGTTCTATCAATTGTCCACCATGTCTAAATCAGCACCAATGGTACAATTAAATAAGCTAAAATTACCTGAATGTCAGTGTTATTCGTTTCGTATTGATGTCGTTCGAGCCATCATTTCCAAACTGTGACGAATTGTTTTCTGACGAGGGCTTCTGCATACACTTTGATTTTGAAAACATAAGACGGTATTCGCGTTTAAACTTTTCCTGCAAACCAATATAAACATAAAAATAAATAAATAATAAAATAGATAAGATAATAATAATAATTATTAGTTCCTATGAGGTAATTTTTTTTTTTGCAATAATGTCATAAATTGTCTTACAAAATAATGCTAACTTTGACCTTAAAAGTGTAAAATTCAGGAAAGAGTGTTAATTAAGTAAACGCAGACCTTTTGTAACTGTATATTAATGGATAATACATGTTACAAGAACTTAAAATGACATTAAACATTACATGATGACCTAATGAATAAATTGTAAAATGGAAATATATAGTGTTATTTTTTTTTGTAAAAAAAAACTCAACTTCATAATAATTGTTATTTACAATATTGACTGGTAAAAGCACGTTAGATATTTTTCACGTAAAATATGACAACATTAAAAAGCTTACATTAAGAAGGCCGTATATGAAAGGGTTGTAACAAGAGTTGCTCATTGCCAACCAGTTTGAGCAGAACCATACAATCTTGATATATTTATATCTGAAAAATATGAAAACCAGTGCACATCTTTTTATTAATGTCATTTAAACAATATATTTATGAATATTAATATAGCAAGTGCATACAAAATCACATAAACTCGTGATGAATTCCATAAGAATGATACGTACGTTAAATGAGAATATAAGATTAATATCATTTCCTTTGTAAATTAATATATCGATCAATTTAGCTTACGCAACACTGGTTGTTCTACTCAGGTTCCTGCTCATACATGCAAGAAAAAAAATGCACAGACGGACACCTGAGGTCTACCTCCACCACTTGTAAAGTTATGGGAAGTCATCATATGACGGTGTGACTTGAAACCTTCAGAAGAAATAAAAGTATAACATTTCCTATATCAGTCATAAAACATGCAGTTATGGGGACAATATATATGTTTCACTCGTAAATGTTATCATCGCTTGAAGCTGATCTACGGATCTAGCAGAACATGTTTACAGACTTTTTATCAGCAGGCAAAATTATTCATAGCATTAATACAACAAGCCCAGTTGATGTTAACAACCAGAGAAATACATGCTGATAAATGCAGTGGCATGTGCACAGTACTTCATTTTATTTAGGCTGTACGAAATATCAATAAAACAGAAGTTAAATAAAGAGCTTACTCATTTATTTGTGGGTATATCTCTTTTATAAAGTTGTAGAGTTGTAGGGGCATCCAGCAAATCACGAACAACAGTACAACAATGATCAGCATTTTAACAACCTGAAAGTAAAAGAATTAGGCATTATGCCGTTCCTAGGATAATTAACGTACTTAAAGATTATTTTACATTTTCTCATAATTATTTCTATAATATTTAAGTCAGAATAAGTGGGACAAATTAAAGCAAAATGGTAGTCATCCTCTTTATTGTTTACGTTGCAAAATGAATATTTCCTGTTCGGTCTCACAATGTGTCCATGTCTGCCAGTCTCTATATTTAAACGATACGAAGACCATCTTAGTTCTAAATTTCGTGCAATGCATTCTCCTAAGTAATTTGATATTCAAAAGATAATTTTAAGCTTTTTAAACAACGTATTAAGTGATCTTTTATTATAAACACCTTATCTCCAGTAACTGATATAAATATTTATATATAAGTCTTGCTCTAAATATTGACAACATGTATATTAAAAAGGTATTGTTTATTAATTAATTAAAAACCAAATGCGTCACGATAGTGTATTAACACTCAAATAATTTCTGGGCTCATGTTTTGTAAGATAAACGTTTGTTTGTGTGTTTGTTTGGTAGTAATGTTTTCAGTTGTATGCTGTTTATTTTTGGGTCATTTTAGTTTGTGTTTGCATATTTTGCATTGATCAGCATGTATGTAAAGTTCTCCTGATGTTGTTTTCATCATTTGTTTTGTTGATTTTGTTGACTTTATGGACTTTTATTTCTTGCACGTTTTTCTTGTCTGTTAAACGAATACTACTTTTCTGTGTCTCATTAAGATAACTTGAGCATTTAATTGTAGCATCATTATAATGACAATGCTAATGCCTGAAAAACTGCTTATGAGGCTCCTTGGATTCATAAAATTGAATTGTGCTTCAACAGTTCGTTTCAGCGGAGTTTCATTTCAAATGAAGCAACAACACAATTATTTGACAGTTATTGTCTAACTTATGAGGTCTTGTAAAGATGAAAAAGATGTAAAGAAAATTAACGACTTCTTTGAAATTTTCAGGGAATAAAATCTTTCACTATATGAGAAACTAATTCAAAAGATGATCGGGATTCTAAAGCCTTATTTAACAATTTACTTAACGCGTATTGGTTTGAAATGCATCGTTTTGTATGGCGTGATATGTTTTCATATTATATTAAATGCCAAAATTTGAGATCAATAATTTCGTTTTTCTGCAGCTGAGTAAAGTTATCCGAAATTTAACTTCAGTAATGTCTTATTTTTTTCTAGTTCTTTTGGGATCATTGATTTCAGGACACTAAGTGTTGAAGATTGAATGCCATTTAAGTTTATGCTAGGGGTTATGAGGGAGGTAGCGTCTGTCTATTATTCCTTATATACAGATTCAATAAACCGAGTTTGTAACTGCTATGCAATTCTGTTGTTTCAATGATTTCGAAGGGTTACCTCTTTTAATAAAAACACATATTCAAGTTTTCCTTGGACAAAAAAAACAACATGCAGCTTGTGGCCAGTTAACTGGCTAATATTAGTTTCATTCTTTCTATCTTTCTTTGTGACTTCTGCTGCCATCATACATTATTTTCTCTTTTTTTGCAATATAAAGAAAGTTTATCACCCTTAGAAACGGTTTTATAAGGATTTTATATTTCCGTAGAGATGTTTGAAATGTGTTAACGGATACACAAACCTCATTATAGATCAAACACAACATTAAATCCGACTTTGGAGAGATGGTTACGATGCAATTATTGCTGATAAATGTAGGGAAAATAACGTTTAAAAGTACAGAGGAGGTTCATTAATTTCTAAATCAACACGTATATATAAAATAATTATAAAAGTGCCTGTAAAGTTCATTGTACATGTACAAGGTTGACAGTTTATTTGTGCATACTGTTATCTATTAATATCATTTGTGCTTTTTGCAATTTATAAAACAAGTATAAAATGTGCTTATCAATGCATACATTAAGCTATTGGTGTAATTTGAAAAAAAAATGATTTTGATAAAAAAGATATGTGATATAAATATAAACATCTATGGAAAGTTCATTGAACCCGTTTAACGATCCTTGTTTTATATTTGATAAGTTTTTGACTAAGGGATTTTTGCATTTTTGAATGTAAAACTTCATATCTTATATTATTCTAAATGTCATAAATCATGGATATACTGTAGTATTGCTTTGCTTTTCATGTGCATTTTACTATTTCTTTAACTTTATTTTAACTTTACTACGGTTATTTTCACTTTTGATTTGTGTTTTTCTTTACTATATTTTTCTTAACTTGCTTACTTTATTTACAGACATTTTTATAAACTCTATTAACAGAAATTTTATAAGCATATTATGTTCCCTTGGAACTATTTGAAAGGTGTTTACATTCATAAAAACAATATACATACGAATTTACAAACCCGACGTAAGATCCGACTTTTAGAGAGAATTTCAATGCAAGAATACAAATGTATATATTCATACAAAAAGGAATAAAAGAACAAAAGAAGGTTCACCGATGTCTTCATTAACAAATAGATATAATATTATAAAAATGCATGAGTGGAATAATGTATGTGAAGTTAATTGTACCTGGTTGACAATTTAATTGTGTTTCTCTAGCTGTCAAAATGTTTTGTAGACACTCATTATTTCTGTTAGTAGAAAGGTATTAAAATACATATTAATTTTGTTATTATCAAATAAATGTAAAATACATGTTCTAGTTAGTGTTTCGTATTAAAGTTCATAGGGCTTGTTTATTTTTGTATACTACTTCATGTTCTGTCAGTAACATCTTGTAGATTTCATAATTAGTAATTGATCTGGACTGTTATGCCGTTTAAAATGGCATAATAAATTTCAAATTAAAATGATTCAGAAGCAATTTACATATAATTTAAAATATAAGACTGCCATATTTACAAAAGCTGAGATCATTTGAACATCAATTCGTTTCACATCACGGTCATTTTAACACACTACACGCGTTTACCTTAACTAGGTCAACGACAAAAATATTAAGACGCAAAACAAACGCTTTTAACAATTGCATGCTGTCGCTTGGCATCCTCTTTTCTTTTGTAACGTCTTACTATTGAAGGACTCATATCATTAAGAAACAACCACTCTCAGTAGTATTTGATCTGCTGAAAGATAAAAGCCATTTGCTAAAAGCTAATTATCTTTCGGTGACAGGGAGTGACACTTCTCCGGAAGGCAATGACCGAAAAATGATTACTATATTTAGTTCAGACATTTTAGTCGAAGCTAGATATCAAAACAGCATATAAGTTCTTTTTTTAAGATTACTTTTAATAAACAATAAATATTTTATTGAAAACTTTATTGTATTTTTTTTACGATTTTAATATTTTAGTGCAGATTTGGACAGAAGCGATTACAAAATATTACATAAATATATATCATTACATACTGAAATTATAACAGCTTTAAATTAATTATTATAATTATGCTACAATTCAATACAAATTTTCTTTGTCAACATATATCTTATTCCATGTTATAAACATGAATCTCTTTGTTCTGGCAATTCAGTTTACCATCTAAGACTGAAGTGTTAGGCTTTATCGGTATATTAATTAACATCAACTTTAAACCTTCTCAATGTGTAACGGATATGCCAACCTTTGATTATTAAATCAGTCACCTAAAAGTTCAATTTCAAAATTTTAGACCAGCATCATAGCCTGGGCAAAAGTACAGACCTGCTTATTTATTAAATACTGGTGGCAAAGGCTTACAATATTAAGGCTCCATAAGGTAAAATGATGTAAAACAATATGTTAGGAAATATTTTTACAAAAAACTATCGGCAGTAAAATTATTTTGTTTCCATAATCGTCCGGTTGATTCTCCGAAAGGTTATTAAATAAAATACCTCTACATAACCCATGAAGGTATTATACGTAAACAGAATTGAATTCTCCGAATATAATATTATGCTGCAATTTCAGGAGGGTTTTAACTGTTTGCATTGGCAATTTGCAATTTTGCCCTTCGGACGTACTTATTTTCTCATTATATACTTCATTAATCAAAAACAAAAGTAATTTAGAATATCAGTCACAGAAACAAATTGTAAAAAAAAACACGTTTCATATGAGCGCTGTAGAAGACTGTAGGTCAATAATGTCAGCAATAAAAAAATTGTCATGTTTTTGTGTATACTTTTCTTTGCTAAAAAAAAGGTGTTTTTCAGCAAAGCTCACTTTTTTCGCAAGCATTATGAAAGTATTCATTTGAATTTAAACTGACACAACAATTATTTGCAACATGTTGTCATTCACTTGCATGTTGTGGAACTGTCTGTTTGATTTTGAAGCAATTCTTTTGTTAAAAAAGCGTGTTTCAGCGCAATGCTCAAATATTGTTTTCCTACTCTTTTTTTCCAAGCATTTTGACAGCATTCTAATTTAAAACTCAAACAGCATTTATCCTCAGAAGATATGCAATCTCATAAACTTTGAGAATTATAACAAATTATATTTGCTTCAATAAGTTATTGATATTTTACACTCAGCAATGATATCAATTTGCATACAAAGTTCAGGATAAATATTAGAAAAAATTATTTCGATCTTACGTCATATTTCTTCATATATTTACATTTTTCTGTTCATTTTTATTTATTTATTCATTTACATTTTTGCATTTATCATAAAAAGATCGATTCCATTTTTTTTATTTTCGATAAATTTTATTTATTTATTAATTTATTCATTTATTAATCTCTTTATTTTTCCTTTTCTTACATAGTTTTACTTTTATTTTACTTAATTACATTTTCAATTACTACAACTTCAACTTTTGATTTTTCTTATGTTTCTAGACTAAGTTTACTTTGCTTAACTTTATTTTACTTATTTACTAATTTATTAATATGATTTTTTTATATTTATTTGATATTCTTGTTTCTATCGTTGATGTCTCACATAAAACTGTGTAACTTAAACACTTAAACTGGCATTGTTTTGGCTCATGAGTATAAATGACCGTCTAATCATTATTGTTAAGCTTTCAATGTAATGCAACCTCATAATAATTCATCTTTAATAGCGTGGTCTATAACGGACACTGCGACACATAAATGTCTAATGGTATTGTCTTTCTTAACTGTAAAAAAAATGTTGTCCGAAAACATACGTGCCCTAATAGAATACAGAAAGATTAGAGAGGTATTTATTTCATGACAAGAATATTAGACACAATCTTATATACTGTTGTAACTAGAATAAAAAAGATACTGTGCTAATCAATGTCTTTATTCTGAGATTAATCATGTATCAATATTTTTTTCAAAAATGTAAAAAATCAAACGGCTGCGAAATTTCAGTGAGCATTGTTTTAAACGTGAAAATGAATGTTTTTCTTTCAAAATGAAATTGAAAATGGTTTGCAAAACGAAAATTATTTTGCAAAGTGAAAATGAAATGTTGAGTCTACAAAGGTTAACTGTTTTGCGATGGCAACCTTTACTAAATCTACTTTCGTTTGGAGACTACGAGTTGCCAATTAATTGATAATTTGTACTTAATTATTGAGCAAACCAGTTATTGAGCAAACCAATTGGTTTTGACTAGGGCGTTGCCGAGTTGATAACGCGTCGGAAAAGTAATATGGGTGGATTCAAACCCGTGAGAGAGAAATTCTACACTCTTTGCTTAGTAATTGTTGTTTGAAGGAACAGATTAGGGAATGTTTCAATAAACTTATTACTTCCAGGAAAACTTATGCCTATAAGTAGAAACTAACATTCTATAATTCTTTGGTTTAGTATTTCAAAATATTTCAATAGGTGCTCCATCTATCTTATGAGTTTTTTCACCATTAACAATTCATTGAGCATTTAGGGATTTTATTGGGCACCAAACGTTTACTTCGGATACGTGACGTCAGATTTCGCACATTAATAGACAAAATTACTGTATAAGGTTTTCTTGTACCATTTTTGCAATGGCCTTTAATTTAGGCGTAACAAAAAAATGTGTCCATACTTTTAATTAAGCATAATCATATTTCTTCGTTAGACGTTCCATTAAATAAGACAATAGACCATTGATATACAACTGTACCAGTGTTTCGTTTTCGCATTTTATAATTGACAATAACAGAATTAGATTCTGTTTTGACGTGAATGGATAAAAAAATATATAATAAAATTAATGAAGAATATAATATATACCACCAGCCACATACCTTTTTCTTATTTCGCTGTCTTGCGTTGTCTCTGTTTCCCCTATCAACAGTATTTCCTGGTTGCTTTGTTCCCCAAATCTTGCACGAGATTCTTGTGTATGAAATATTTATTACCAACAGTGGAAATAGATACTGTACTAGTAAAAGATAAAGATGGTAATATTTTCCAAAATTTTCAGTTGGCCAAGAAGCATCACATGTCAGTACAAATTTCAGTTCAGCATTAATCATATAATGGACATAGTAGTAATAACCTTCGGGAAAACATGATCCCAAACCAAGTCCCCAAATGATCAATAAACACACAATGGCGGAGCTTTTTGAAAAACCAGCTTTTAACGGGTACATTACAGCAACGTACCTATCCACGGAAATAACAGTCAATGTTATAACACTTACACTCACTGATAACACTTTAACTGACGGTGCTAGTTTACATAAAAATTCGGGAAAATCCCATCTTTGGTGTAATGCTGGATGAAATTGAAAAGGTATGGTGAACATTCCAAGTATAACGTCTGCAAAGGCCAAGTTTGCTATAAAAATATTTGTCACTGTTTGCATGCGCTTATCTCTGGCTATAACAATAATCACCAAACCATTACCTATAATAGCAATAACTGATATGGAACCATATAGAAGAGCAAGCAGGGCAACTACAAAGGTTGGAACTTCGTACATATCCACATCTGGAAATAAACTAGTGTTAAATGATTTATTATGCAAACTTAACCTGGCAAGAATATCCAAAACGTTAAATGATCCATTTTGTAAATCCATGTTTTCTTACGTATGAAATATTTCTCTTGGCTGCTCAAATCTTCCAACCGTGTGGTGAGGTAAGAGATCTCTTTACTTTATCGTTTACTTGTGATTCTTGTGAAAGCATACGGCTCTGTTGCTACAACTATTGGTAAAACAATTTTCCGATCAACAGCAGGACAGCAGGTGACATCATATAAGGATGGAATATAAATATATTATCGGAACATAAAACATTTATTTTTAGCTGACTGAACAATTGTACGTTTTGTTACTGTATATATAATACAATAGCGTAATTACAGTATCCTTTTCTTAAGGAATAAATAAACAAAACTGTTTTAACCCAAAAGCGATAATTATTCCACCCAAGTTCTCTCATTATTTCTAGCAAATTATAGAAACGTTATGACATTGTGCATTAAAACAAATGCTTTCCGCTGTAGCATACTATATGTCTGCCCTATTATCTTAGATTATGTATGTTTTTAGCTTATCTCAATTAAACCATTAACAAGCATATTGTAGGTAAAGGTTTATCGATGGTAAACTTAATTGCATTTTAAATTATTTAATTGGCAGTGAGGTAATTGTATTTCGTTCGGTTTAAAAAAACTCAACAAATTAGTTTATCGGTAAGCAACAGTTACAATAATCGATTTAAGAAAATACAATCTAACTTGTTGAAATTGATTTTTTTTATTTTCAGGAAATTATCGGCGTAGTTGTTTTACAATTATTGATGACCTGCTTTTGCAACAAATGGAATTATTGTAAAATAGAGACAAATAAAGAATCCCTAAAGAAAGTCCAACACGACAAAATTAAAAATGTAAGTTGCAAAACCCTTTGTTGCAAAATGTTTATTATTTGTAGGAAGCAACATATAAGAAATTGAGGAGCAGATTTTGAAAATCTTTGTATAAAGGCCATTAACAATTAATCATATGTCAAAACAGGACAAATATTCTTAATGTTCTAAAGGCAAGTAAATATAGTACGTATAATTAAAAGTGCGACTTGTTTTTCAAACCTTAATCTGTTATAACAAAAACCCACAAACAATGTTAAATGATTAATTTAACAGTTTAGAGTAAAGTCATATAAATAAATTGATGATTAACCTGTTGACTGTAATTATGTTATAGGATACATGTCACAAAAATATTAATGTTTCGATGTAGAAATATGATAATTAGAATCATTGTTCTACTTTTAAAATCAAGGCTGCTATCATATATCTTCGCTAAAACAGTTATTTCCTCGAAGCCTTGAACAAAGTCGTCAGTTGAATATTTATTACCATCAGTTGGGTTCTAACATTGATAGAATTAAATTCAATTTTGCTGATCATTGAAAATGTCTCCAAATTAAAGTCAGTAGTGGGTAAATATCTCTAAATTAAAGCAACTAGTGGGTTCTCATTTTACAAATTATATTTAAAACATATCAATTTTAATGTTACAGCTGTAATACATGTAACTGGGGAAATATGATTTCTTTGCAAAAAGTCTCGAATTCAAAATAAAACCTGACACTATAACTTTGTTCTCATGACTTCATAAAGTTTACAATCTTATGTCACAGGAATATATGAAAAAATACATAATATTTTATAATACATTTTAATAATTAGGCCACATCTGTTATTTACTTGGATCTTTTTGCCGCTTGTTATTTAAATGGCTTTCTTTCTTATCATATTGACGACTTAGTAAAAACCATTGAATTTACATATATGTGGGTCGTTCGCCTCAAACCACTTGCCCCTCACCGCTGTGGGTTTGTATCCCATCCCGACAGGGACTTTGGATTCTTTCATGTGAAGAAGCTTTTTCAGCTAGCTTACGGAACGTCGGTGGTTCTACCAAGGTGCCCGTTCGTGCCTGAAATAAAGGGCACCTGAGGTCTTCCTCTACCAGTAAAGCTGGTATAAATTACGAGCGTATGACAACAAGTCAAGTTGTTTTTATATCTGTTCAACAACCATTGAATAATTGATATGCATAATGTCACTATAAATTCTACAAAAACTTTCTCTTCGATGATCGGCTATCGCAAAATTATTACGCAATTTTAAAAATATTTAAGATCTAAAAAACGGGTAATTGTTTCACAAGTTTTAAACCATGTAAATGCTTATAGTACGGAATAACGTTTAACAACAATTATTCCACATAACGCATGTATGTTTACAATAGAGATACATTGTAATAAAGTGGATCAAACCTTTGTCATTCGTTTCATTCACTTTTCTTTTGGCCTACCTTTACGACCAATGAGAAAACCTAAAATTGTAATTTTCTGTCTTTTACGCACATACCGTCTTTAGCCGTTCACCAAAACGTTGCGTTAGTAAAACGCTTATTTGAACTCATTATTGAATGTCTTAAACAGCTTAAACTACTCAAAAGCCCCTCCCTTTGAGCTGTTTAAACAGTTATTTTTCCTTTATAACGTCTATCTATTACATATACACGATAGAAAAAGTATCTTTAAAATTAAGTTTCCCTTATTCGCCCCTCAAACTTATATTAGTTTCATTATCGCTAATTCTGACTATTTATAAAGAAAGCATGTTTTAACAATTATCATGGGAAAACGCGTGTGTCAAAACATCTTGTTTTCCTATGATTAAATAACGAAGACTTTCAATAAACTCATGTCTCAATTGTCACATCCTTAGAATTCGTGTTTTAAATTTGATTATTTAATTATTAATTATTTAATTATCTGTTTCGTCACGTCAACGAAAACTTGATGTATTTTTACTGTAAGATAAAAGAAATTATATCTATATGGCAACTTTATAATGCTGCGCAGATACTACTGGACTGTACTGATGCAACTCATTACAGATCAATATGGTGAAGATATGAAAATGTTTTAAAGCAAAGAAAATATATCAAATGGTCGTTCAACAAATTCAAATACAACTACAAAAGAAATCAAAGTTAAATTATTACTTTATAACGAAAATCTTAAAGACTGATATAGGCGTCCTTGTTAATGATTGGTTGTGATTAAAAAAAGAGGAAAAATAATTTCAAAAGGAATGTGCACAACTGCAAAAATGAAAATATTGAATTCTTGGTTTGATTCATCCTGTCAATTTAAAGGTGAAATACTGACCACGTCCAAATCAACATTTACATGAAATGGTAATCTTTTGAATTTAAAACCCTACGAAGGTAAGTTCATGCAGCAGATACCATGGAACAAAATCAAAATAAAAATGCGGACAATATCATCAATATAACCACAATTTGAATCTGGGTCGTCAGACCAAACAAATAATGGTAGCGAAATTTCAGACTTTAATGTACTTATTTGCAAATACCGAATGTAGTCCAAACTCTTCGAAGCGGTTACTTCCCTTCATATGTACGTTAACGCCCAAAAAATAAAGGGAGATCACTGCGTAAAGATTGCCAAAAGACAAGTGCATTAATTTTCTTCACGAAGAAATAGTTCCCTATTGGTCGAAGATTTCTATTATTGTGTTATTCTTATAGATATATATGATTATATTCAGCTCCATGATTATTTACTTCAGTGTTAAACAACAGGTTTACAGTGAACAAAATATATCGAAATTAATAAGGGTTACAAACTAGAATTAAGAATAATATGGTGTTCTTCAGGCTGATATCTCATAACTCCCCATGGTCGAGGGGTTTACACGAGAAGTTAAAATCCCAGTTCAGGCAACTCATGTTTTTGTTGTTGTTTTTTTACATTGTTTAAGCCAAATAAACATTGAATTGAATATCAGTGTTGCAATTAGTCTTATAGCCAATTTACTATAGTTATAACATTGGAAACAGAAGTTGGTGACACTTTACAAACAAATTGGTATATAATCTCACAACCTTCACCTTTTTGGCATTCTGAGACCCAAACAAATTTAGCGCTTTCTATGCTTTGATTTCATAACAGGATGACGTCCAATTAAATTTCCTTTTTATTTCTTTTAAAAATAATTACATTCTACTAACTTGATTATATCTTGTTTACCAATTTTAGCAAAAAAAAAATATAGGGAAAAGGAATTGTTACTTAAATATCGGGAAACAACGAACTTAAGATTTTATCACCTCCTGTGGCTTTAGATTGTGACACAAGTCTTTCTGAAATGAAGATTGATGGTATTGAGATTTATTTTTATACAGAAAAGATTGATGGATAATATTATCCAAAATATTACAACTGACTATCCCTTTATGCCTGTTTACTAAAAGTTATGGATGCGATATTAGATAACATACACTATCCAAGGCTTAACAAAGACATACAAATCTCTAAATGGCTATAAAAAAACTCTTTTTTACTTTCTGTAAAGAAATGTTCTATGATGACCCTTTAGCAAAAAGAAATGTCATTTTCCAGAGGTTTCTAATTTGTTACTGGGGACGTCAAAATTGATAAGGTATATATGCTTTTATGAAAAGGAAGAAAATGACAAAAAGAATATTTGTTACGATCCCTGATACGGTAATAACTTGTAGGTGATTTTCTTGTTGGTCTGTCTTCCTTTAAGACATCGAGTACTTTTGTTATGGTCATTGGGTTTATTTTTATATGTGTTTACATGATCATTTTAGTGTTTTACTTATTTAACCTTTTGTAACCATAACAACTGTTAGAATTTCACTTGGCGGGGACTCATTTTATTTACAATGTCTTGTTTATAGGAACATGGTGGGGCTAAGAGCGAGGTTTGGTGCACCATTAACAGGTTTAAACTCCCCAGTAGTCATTATTTTGCTGCTGACCGTTCCAAGGCGGCGCCCCTCTGTGTTCCTCAGATGTATGTCTATGCTGTTTCATATTGTTTTGGTGAAACATTTGCTTGTGTCCCTTGTTGTTTTCTCGTCTACGGTAAGTATCTTCCCCCTTTACCCCTAGTTTTTATTTCTTTGATTAACCTCCCCCCCGCCCGGTCCCCTGTGCCCTGTGACTTTGTGGGCCTTTTGTTCAATCATTTATTTGTTTTCTTTGAATTCCTTATCAGTTAC